CCTGGCCCTACTCCAACCAGCCCACAGGCCATTTATTTACCAGCACACGCTCACTTCAGGATTCTGGCTCTGGCTGGGTTTTGACATTAGCTACAAACCACACTGATGAAATAATGTCCACATTTTGTTGTCCTACTGGCCAAAATTTAATTTTTTAAAGGTGTTGGAAACATATCATGCTAACATCACTCTGTGCAGGGCCATCCATCCGGAGGTCGCGGGTCCTCCTGCACATATCTTAACAAGCACTACTATTTCTCCTTTACAGTATAAGGAGACAGACACAGAGAGGGCTACGTGGCCTCTCAAAGTTACAGCAGGAGTCAAGGGCAGTGCTGAGAGCATAACTCAGGCCTCTCCTGACCAGCTCGTGCAGCCTCCGGTGGCCTATTTTTCTCCTGCAGCTTTTAATCCTTTTCCCAAGAAGATCTCTCCCTTTCTGGAACATACCTCCAATGTGTAGAATGGAAAAGGGGAGGACGGCAATATTACCATTTGCTTTTTCTTTCTGAAATTATTCCTTCCTTCTTATCCCCTAAATGAAACCCTTCATCCCGTTCACCAAATGACAACACAGACACATCGATGTGCCCATTTGACAGACAATGATGCTCTTCCTCTGCCGGCTGGTCATGCTTGGAGGGAAGGATGCTTTTTTAAACCCCCAGTTTCCATCTTTGAGGATTTTATAATTAAATGAAGAAAAGTACAAGTTGTTCTTTGAGAAAACAGAAGTTAAATGCAAAAGGCAACAGCACAAAATGAACCCCGCTAAGGGCACTGTGCAGGCCGGGTGGGCAGAGGGAACGTGCACCGCGAATGAAAGTGCAAGGTCACAAACGGCTGCTCTGCTCAGCAAAGCTGCAACAGAAGCTGGGGTTGTCTGAGCTGGGTCCTAGAGAATGGGAAGAATTTGTATTATGGACGGAGTGAGGAAGAGAAGGCGTTTTGGGCTGGGGGTTGGTGGAACAAAGGTCAGGAGTTGGTTGCAAGCAGAATGCCTTGCAAGACAGCAGGTGCCCAGGGGACAGGCTGGGTCGGGGACCTAGCAGGGAGCTCACACACAGCCATGGTAGGGAATGCACCACCGTGTTTAAGCTGTGGGGAGCCACTGTTTACTCATGGGGGTGGGGGGAGGATCAGATGAAAGCGAGCTTTAGGAAAATTAATCTGACGACAGTTAAGAAGTCTGGGGAGGCTGCTGACGGGGTGGTGGGCCATGGAGGGGCAGGGTGAGGTCAAACACCATGGAGGGACACAGACACAGGGAGGGGTCTCGGTACTGGGATTATAGGGAACGATGTGATTGGCTTCATCTCTGACAATCCAGTTTTATTCTTTATTTTTATGTAAACAGGGAAAAAGCGTACAAAAGAGCTGTGGATATGACCCAAGTGTCCCCAGTCCTGCCCCTTCTGTTTGGCTCTGCAGCTCCCCTCTGAGCGGGGTCTGTCTTCCACCTGAGAACTGGGGCTGGCCATGGGCTTGTCCAGGTAGTATCATGAAAAGATGGAGGCCGAGACTTTGGGAGCCCCTGTGTGTTCTTTTCCCTCCCAGAACCCCGTGGCCAAGTGGGAGCCGGCCGTTGGATGGAGAGGGACACGTGGCCCTTTTACTCCACCCACCTCACCAGCACCCTACACTGGATGAGGCTGAGACTGCCCAGCAGCTGACCAGAGACACACGAGCAAGCCGGGGAGGCCCACCAGCCTGCCCACACTCATGAGCAGTGAGCAATGTGGCTCACACAGCATGACAGTGGCCACAGCCCCCGGTACAGGCGTGACGGCAGACACGTGTGTGATGGTGGTGTGACGGCAGGTGTGACGGGAGATGAGCGTGTGACAGTGCAGGTGTGACGGCAGGTGTGATAGCAGGTGTGATGGCAGGTGTGATGGCAGAGATGCACGTGTGATACTGCAGGTGTGACAGCAGGTGTGACGGCAGGTGTGACAGGAGATGCGTGTGTGACATTGCAGGTGTGACAGCAGGTGTGATGGCAGGTATAATGGGAGAGACACGCGTGACACTGCAGATGTGACGGCAGGTGTGATGGCAGAGACGCACGTGTGACACTGCAGGTGTGACGGCAGGTGTTATGGGAGAGACGCGCATGTGACACTGCAGGTGTGACGGCAGGTGTTATAGGAGAGGCGCGTGTGACACTGCAGGTGTGACGGCAGGTGTGATGGCAGAGAAGCATGTGTGACAGTGCAGGTGTGATGGTGCAGGTGTGACAGGAGATATGTGTGTGACACTGCAGGTGTGACAG